TGTTTGTGAAAATAACTTTAGTTTTTTAGTGTTTGGTCAGATAATTCAGCAGCCGCTGCATGGCGTCTCTGCAGTAATTCAGGGATGAACACCTTATGTAATAGCACTACAGATTGGAGCTCTCTTTTACACTTCATGATTTGTCCCATGACCAGTGGAGGTCAGGTACTTGTTACCTCTAAAATTAGAGCTGATGATATGATGTTCAGGAGAGAACCATGGGCAGTTATGTTAACTATCATGTATCATTCCCCCACTCATTTGGCAAACGATAATATTAGACCAATATCAGGCAACTCAGTCTGTCTATTCTAAAGAGTTTTATGCCTTTTATGTCCATTATTTTCATTCCATTATGAAAAGCTTTGAACTCTACAAATACTCTTAATGACTTTGACCTGAGTAGCACATGAGGAGCTGCAGTAAAGCAGTGAGTCAGCAGACGTACTGAGTCTGACACAGAGAGCAACCGTGTCGTTCTGTGGCACTGGAGATTATGTGAATGCCAAAGCCTTTAACCTCTTAAACACTCCCACCTCATGTCCACTATTCTCCATCACTTATCATCACTCATACTTCCTATTATTGCTCTTTACTACAGCACACACACACTCATTAGGTTTTACACATTCAGGATTTCTCACAGGTCACCTCTGCCCCCTATTGGCCTTCGCCTAATACAACACAATACAAATCACTAAGTGCAAATGGAAACTTGTGAGACATGTGAATTGGTGATAAATTAGTGAGCTCTCTCTCTCTCTCTCTCTCTCTATCTCAACAGATGGATTAATTGCTTAATCACAGCCATTCAGAAACATAAGAAAAATGTTCAAAGTCAGCCAGACAATGAAGAAGGTAGGAAAACAACACATTCACATTCAGTTATTTTCAATAGCTGGCATCTTTACACTGCCAAGTTAAGGCGGTTCTGTGACGGCTCCAAGTTCTGTGAAAATATGCAATGCCAAATTAAATCTGTACTAAAATATCAGCTTTGATTCAATAAAATGCTACATGAGAGCCTCTTTACGTTTTTGTCAATCATCGGACATCCATGAAAATCAGCAGTCAGCTTATGTGTATATTTTGTTTCATATGATTATGATTCTGTCAGAAATATATTTATTCCGCCTCTTTATTTTATTATGTGTGTTAATGAATTTTTCATGGTATATATGCTGTTTGTGTACTACTTAGTCTATGTAAAATGCTTTTGTTGTCAGAATGTTACAGTGAAACTGAATCTGAAGAGGAATCGTCCCGTTCACCACTTTCTCATCGGAAGAAAGTCAATACGGTGAGGGAAAACAGATAGACATGCACGAACAGAGAACAAACATTCTTGTTATTCCAAACCTGTAGGAGTACATTTTTTCTGTGGAACACAAAATGAGATACTTTTACACTACAATTCAAAAGTTTGGGGTTTAACCAAAAATACAGTAAAACAATACATTTGTGAAGTTGTTATTTCACAATTGTTATAATTAAAATAATTGTTTTCTATTTTGATATATTTTCATATATTATAACATTTTATTTAATTCTGTGTTGGCAAAGCTGGATTTTCAGCAGCCATTACTCCAGTCTTCAGAAATTATTCTAAAATGCTGATGTGCTGCTCAAGAAACATTTCTTATATTATCAGTGTTGTAAACAGTTGTGCTGCTTAATATTTTTGTGAAAACCGTGGTAGATTTTTAATGTGACATTATAAAGGTCCTTACTGTCACTTTTGATCAATTTAATGGGTCCTTGCTAAATAAGAGTAATAAACTTTTGAAATGTTGTGTACTGTAGAATATTGCCACTTGACCTTTATTTTGTGGAAAAGAGCTGCTTAGATCATCTGCAATAAATACAGAATTTTATAATAAACAGAATTATTATTATTATTTTCCAAACTAACACATGTGGGAAATGACTGTGTACCTTTTCTTTAGAACATAAACTATTTAACAGAGTTTCTTCTTTCTTTTGTCATAGAAAGCTCAAACACAATCAAACACACTTCCTCGAACAAAGGGAAAGCAGAACAGGGTGTCAGAGCCAATAACCATTTCGCAAGCAGGTAAAGGATCATCCAAAAATGTTATAAGCCTCTTTATATCTTGTATCTTTAAATCCTTATAGCCCTTTCAAAGCTGTGTCAAGATAAAAACAGTTCTTTAATAAAAAAACAATACTTTCATTAAACAAGCAAAATCTCACTATGTCTCTCAGGAAATGTAGATGAGATGGATGAAATGTTCCATAGCCTGAAGAAAGGAGGAGTGTCTCTGATTGGTCAGAATCAGCCGACGACTCATGACCAGCTACGTAAATCCTTCATCAAACGCAACAAAAATCCTGTTATCAATGAGAAGATACACACACTCCGTGCCCTTCAGAGCACACTTAAGGTAAGACATGCATTTACACACACATACTAACAACCCAACCCAAACTGTTGTTATTATTATTTCCTACTCACATCAATCATAATAGATGGACAGTTTAAAATATTACACAACCAGTCAAAAGTTTGGAAAAAATTAACATTAATTGTTAATGTTTTTAAAATAAGTCTCTTATGCTCACCAAGATGAATTAAATAATTTGAACAAAAATATAGTAAAAACAGTAATATTGTGAAATATTAGTACAATTTAAAAGAACTGCTTTCTATTTTAATATATTTTAAAATCTCATTTTCACATTATCCTTCAGAAATCATATTAATATGTCGATTTAGTGCTCGAGAAACTTTCCTTATTATTTATGTTGAAACAGATGTGCTTCTGCTATGCTACCATACAAAAAGTTTGGGGAAAGTAAGTTGAAAAGAAAATAAATCAATACTTTTATTATTATTATTATGAATGCGTTAAATTGATTTAAAAAAAATTACAGTAAATTATATTTTAAATAAATGCTGTTCTTTTTTAACTTTATAGTCATCAAAGAATTCTGAAAAAATTGATCACAGTTTCCACAAAAATATGTTTTCAACATTGATATAAGATCCATTATTAATCATTGCACACCAAATTAGCATATTAGAAGGATTTCTGAAGTATCATATGACACTGAAGTTTTAAATTGTAATACAGTTTCAAAATATTGCTGCTTGTACTTTGTTTTTTATTTTATTAATTAATGTATTTTTGATCAAATAAATGCAGCCTTGCTGAACATTAAACTTAATTGTTCCAAACTTTTGACTGGTAGTGGATGTAAATAGCCAGGTAGAGTAGGTCAGGCACACAGCGGTCTCTTCGTTGATTTCTCACTGGCTGCTGGTGTTTTCTAGGCGAAGGAAGCAGAACTTCACCTGATTAACAAGATCCTGGAGGACTCTGAGTTCTCACCGCAGAAGTACCATCAGTGGAAGCAGTTCAATGAAGAGCTGCTGCAGGACATTGAGAGACAGTACAAACAGACGGTCTCACCAAGCATAGACACAGTGTCCAAGACCAACAATGGGGCAAGCACACTGAATCTGAGTGATGGAGAACAGTTGGTAGATGCAGAGACACCTGTTGACGGAAGCTCCACTTCTGCAGAGAAACAGGTGCCGATGCAAACGCATACCACAGTCACAAACGAAACTACAGAGAAATACTTTTACATATGACACTTGCGCAGATTCTGTGAACACAACCGTTTCCTTCTTGTACTGTATTAAAATATATAACGAAATGAGAAATGAAAGTGCAACATTGGGATAAATATATAGATCCGAATTGCAGCCATCTGGGACAGAGCACTGGCTGTTTTACCAGAAGTAAGGTCTATCATCTGGAGTTTTTCAAAACTACTTCTGCTGTTGATTCACAATAAACCATCACTGAATTTATTATGAACTGCATAATGCTGGCAAAAGAACAAATCTAACTTAAAGCACTTGCTAAAGGATGTTGATTATACAGATGTATGTAATTTTAAAAATATATATTTTAGATTAATTATATTAATATGATGAATATTTGTTTTTATGTCAGGTATGTGTGTAAGGTTTCCCTAAATATGTTAAAAATATTTTATGAATGTTCAGACATGATGGACAAGAAAGTATTGCTTTTATAAGAATGTATTCTTTTTATTATGTAGACAATTTATGGCAGTGCAGATCCTGAAAACAAGTTTAGTAGGCTCAAAAACTATATTTCCTGAGGAAAAAAAATGATACCTCATTGTGCATAGTTTGTATTAAATGCCCAGCTATGGTCATTTCCCCAGAATTGCCACACAGTGGCGCCCTGTGTTTTGGTCATGTTTTGGTCACACTCCAGTCACCTGTTCATTTAAGTCTTTCAGTGTTTTTATACCAACAGTGTATAATCATGCATATACTGGCTGTATTTATATATATATATATATATATATATTATATATGACCCTGGACCACAAAACCAGTCTTAGGTCGCTGGGGTATATTTTTAGCAATAGCAAGAAAAAACATTGTATGGGTCAAAATTATGGATTTTTCTTTTATGCCAAAAATCATTAGGATATTAAGTAAAGATCATGCTCCATGAAGATATTTTGAAAGCTGGGGTATATTTTTAGCAATAGCAAGAAAAAACATTGTATGGGTCAAAATTATGGATTTTTCTTTTATGCCAAAAATCATTAGGATATTAAGTAAAGATCATGCTCCATGAAGATATTTTGAAAATTTCCTACTATAAATATAACAAAACACATTATTTTCCACATACTGTACATTATTGTTTCTCCCCTAAGCCCCGCCTTTCTGAAACGCATCGATTTTTACAAAGCTCATCGGTCTGAAAAGCGAGGTGTGCTCTGATTGGCCAGTTATCTAGTGCGTTGTGATTGGCCGAATACCTCAAGCGTGTGACAGAAATATTATGCTCCTTACCATATTGTGATGCCCTGTCCAGCCGGAGCGATGAGACAAAAACATTAAAACCCATTATAAACAAGTCATTTGTTACATCCAGTGGGGACTTAATTACGGATTATAATGATTTATACTGTCTTTTTACGCGTTTGCATTGCATCGCGTAAACATAAAACCATGTCTGCATTTGTGATCGGAGAAATGACAAACAACAAGCACTACTCTACACTGCTCAAAACTCGCATTTAAATCATCAGTGGCAAGAGTGAGGGTAGGCCGGGGGCTAGAGTGAGGGTAGGCCGGGGGCTAGAGTAAGCGGAGGCCGGGGGCTAGAGTGAGCGGAGGCCGGGGGCTAGAGTGAGGGTAGGCCAGGGGCTAGAGTGAGGGTAGGCCGGGGGCTAGAGTGAGCGGAGGCCGGGGTCTAGAGTGAGGGGAGGCCGGCTTGTGTGAGCGGAGGCGGGCGGGCTTGAGAACGGCGCGGGCTTGCGGCAACCACATGTGACGACCCCAGGCTGGACTCCGCTTCGTCCACGGTGAAAGCAGATCTGGTGATCCACAGCGCAGAGGTGATGTATTTCCTCAGCGACCAGCACAGATCAGCTCTAGGCACGACGAAACGGATATCGTCCTCTTTTGGAAGGCCAAACAAAGTAGTTTCGCTTTCACAACGAAACACACAGCGCCTTCACACCATGGCAGCGGCGGCAACAACAATACTACAGCGAGAATAAAAGTTACGCTTTCTTTCTTTGTGTGAACATTTGGGCGGCGTTATGCAAATCTTCCCACACAGTGACGTAGACATGTGGGGGCGTGTTAGAACGAGCCATTTTAGGTAGGCGTGGTTGACTCTTAACTTTTATAAAGAACATCTCTTTGGATTTGAGACTTTAGTCTTTGCAACTTTACAGATCTTCTTTATGCACCAAGAGCTTGTAACACTCCAGAGAGAAAGGAAAAATTGAAATCGCATCATATGACCCCTTTAAAGGTGATTTTCTCAATATTTTGATTTGTTTGCACCCTCAGATTCCAGATTCTCAAATAGTTGTATCTCAACCAAATATTGTCCTATCCTAACATCTTCACACAGGGCCGTGTAGTTTTGGATTTTGTTTTCCCTTAATAATAAAAACCTTCATTTAAAAACTGCATGTTGTGTTTACTTGTATTATCTTTGACTAATATTTAAATTTGTTTGATGATCTGAAACATTAAAGTGTGGCAAACATGCAAAAAAAATAAGAAATCAGGAAGGGGGCCAACACTTTTTCACACCACTGTATATATATACATACACACACACACACATTTTTACCATACAGTAATTCTTCTCTGCTAATAAACTGTAAAACAAAGTTTTCCTCCTTGCATGATAAGTTTTGGTGTATTTTTTAGTGTAAAATTTTATCAGATTATCTAAACCAATCAAGGGGGGGGGGGGAATTAATTTAAACTCATGGCGTGATCTGACCTCAGCTCTTTGCGATGTGATGTGGGAATGTACAAGTCAGGTGACTGAAATATTACAGGCAGTCATTTCACATGACATAGGCAGCAGGAAAAACATTTAATCAATAGCCTACCACATATAGAATCACTGTCAATAGCTACACATAGGCTTTTTGCAATGTAAATATTTATCAAGTACAGATAGTAAATAATTACAGATCAATATATTACAAATAAACACTGTTGTTTACCAGCCATGAGGCTTGAGCAAAATGACACATGACACATATTTCACGCACTAGCGGGAAAGGCCAAAAATTCCAACAGCCTAGTGACACTAGTACATTGCTTTCATTTTACGACAGGTTTTGGAAAGAATATTACAGTACTGTCATGATAATGAACAGAAATCTGCATCTTTGCATTTAAATGAGGCGTGTCGCATGGGAATAAAAAGGAATGCGATGTCTCGAGTCGTGTTTTTAAAAGTTGACAAAACTTAAAAACGCAGCTCCTATTCGTAAATCAGTATAAAACAATTCTAAAGCGCATGCAAAAACGCGTTCTGTGTGAGCCGACCTCCCATTCACACCAAGGACGATAACTATTCAAAGTTATGATTTGTTGGTATGGACAGTTATCTTTTATAGTATGGTTTTTGGTGTGAACGGGCCTTAAAGGGATACTCCACCCCAAATGAAAATTTTGTCATGAATCACATCCCCATGTCGTTCCAAATCTGTAAAAGCTTCGTTCGTCTTCGGAACACAATTTAAGATATTTTGGATGAAAACCGGGAGGCTTGTGACCGTCTGATTGATTGCCAAGTAAATAACACTGTCAAGGTCCAGAAAAGTATGAAAGACATAATCAGAATAGTCCATCTGCCATCAGTGGTTCAACCGTAATGTTATGAAGCGACGAGAATACATTTTGTACGCGAAGAAAACAAAAATAACGACTTTATTCAACAATTCGTCTTCTCTGTCTCCGCATCACCGTAGCGCCATTTTGGAGAATATCCGCTGAATGCAAGCAGCGTACGCTCTTCTGTGTCAGCCGCAACACAAGGATACGTTTTCTACGTGTATTTACGCTTTGATTTGAACGAAAACAGCGCATCCGTGCAGCGCGGCTGACACAGAAGAGTGTACGCTGCTTGCGTTCAGCAGATATTCTCCAAAATGGCACTGCGGTGATGCGGAGAGACACAGAGGAGACAAATTGTTGAATTAAGTTGTTATTTTAGTTTTCTTCGCATACAAAAAGTATTCTCGTCGCTTCATAATGTTACGGTTGAACCACTGATGGCAGATGGACTATTCTGATGATGTCTTTCATACTTTTCTGGACCTTGAAAGTGTAATTTACTTGGCAGTCAATTGGACGGTCACAAGCCTCCCGGTTTTCATCCAAAATATCTCAAATTGGGTTCCGAAGACGAACTAAGCTTTTACGGGTTTGGAACGACATGAGGGTAAGTGATTCATGACAAAATGTTCATTTTGGGGTGGAGTATCCCTTTAAGGCTTCAGTTAGCGGTTTCATACATATTTTAATATAGTTTTCTTTAGAAACATTGTGTACTGTTTCCCATTTCTTATTTGTCCAATTCATAAACTACCAGTGCACTACAATGAGTCATGTGCAAGCTCAATGTGTTTAAACACCATGAGTCTCTTAAGCTCTTGGGAACGTTTGGTCCATCTAACAATTCACCTCATACATCTGTGCACTGTCTTTGAGTCTCTGCTTGTGGCAGGATGAACACGTCATGCTTTTGAACCTAAAGAGCAGCGCGGCCCCTCCCAGAACCTGTAGCTTTTGAACCCAAGCTCCCACCCACCCGAAATAGAGGGAACCGGCCGGGTGTAATGTTAGTTGGGGTGGCTTGTGTACGTTGAGTCCTTGCGTCTCTGATATGGTTGAATCTACCTCGATCCCCAGCTTCGAAATATTATGTGTGTACACTCCTAATGCAGCCAGACAGAGCACACCCGCCAGCGCCACCAATAGGCCACCAGCTGCCGCTACACTCCTAAGAGGGATATCGGTCCAGCAGCGGACGCCCACGCTGGCAAGGACAATCCCCGCGCTGCACAGGAAAAGAGACGACAGCACCATCCCCTGGACCATTCGAAGCAGAGCATCCTGCTGGTAGGACCCAGACACGGGCCAGCACTCTTTGACTTCAGAGGGCACCACCTGCAAGCAGCTCTCCCACAGGCCGTCCGAACGGAGAAGGAGGAGCTCCGTTGCTCCACCGCGCATGTCCTTCCCTCCACTGCGGCGTGATTGCTGCAGTGAACACCAGCACAAGGCCCAGAGGAGCAAACACCACCCCCATCATCATGGACGCTGGAGTGTGCATCACGTCTTTGTCGATGTGCAGCTCTTCAGGATGATGCTAAGCTAGAAACCATCTGGCAAAGACCTGGTGAAAAGAATACAATTTCAGTTATACTTGATCTACTCGCATCAGATTCAAGAAGATTCTTTAATTTAAATCCCCTCAAACACCTGTTGGCAGAAGTACATTCCTGGTTTCACAGTCTGTTAGATCTAAAAGAGAAAGAGTGCGTATATGAATGTCTTGTTAGCCGATGACTCTCTCTTTTGAGCTCTAAGAAACATCGTCAGTCCTGGCAGCCAGCACAGTGGAGGTAAATGGCCCACTGTTGCTAAGAGACAGTAACCTGGACGATCCTATGGTTGCATCTTTTGTGTTACATCTGAAATGGTTCTAGTACTATCAGCCACATGTGCTAGTCTCTGAACATAATTTTTCTGACGCAAATGTGTGGTTGGGTTGTCGCTGATAGTGTGAACAGGATACATTTTGAAACAGTCTTACGGATATATACGTAGACATGAAGCCAGACGTCCGGGAGCTGAGAGAGCGAGCTGATGTCTGTTCCATGAGACAAGGACAAAAGAGACTAAATGTGATGCTATAAAAAGCAGCTATTTTTAATGCATGAACCCTCACAGACACCCAATATTTTTTAACAAGTCTGTGGAGTATTTTCATAATCTCATTGGCTGTTAACCGGACTCTTGACAACATCACCTTCAAAGGTATCTGTGAGAGGGGTGTGGGTGTACGTTTCAACAGTTTGGTCAATCACTTCATGCTCTTAATGTCAAGTCTATCATCACGAATTTCCTGTTCCAGTCACGTATGTTGCATGGCAACCCAAAAACAAACATTTAAAAGGGTGCACTGGCACCTGTACATTAATGAAAACAACCAAATTTGCCACACCAACAAAATGTGGCTGCTCACACTGTGACAGCCTTGTCTTCAAACCACACTAGTTATTAAATATCTGGAAAAACAGCATGACAGTGTGATCGGAACCACAGCAGTCAGTCAAGCTTTGTTTTTTCCAATTTAAAAACACAAAAGAGAAAAAGCTCATTCCATCTTGAGAAGGATCAACAGGATGAGGCATATGCAAACTAGCCACAACAGACCCCACAGACAAAAAGCAAAGATGCCAGATGCATTGACCTGCTCTCCTGACCTGGTTTTTGCATTCACCCAGAGATGTTACAGTCATCTGCTTCACTAATTGAATCACACATAACAGAGATGTCATACACTCACCTCTCTGCAGAAGAATGAATGATCATTCAGCTGTTCTCTTTGTTAAGTCTGAGATGGATTCTTCTGCTTTCTGTCTTTTCTCTATCCCTCACTCTCTGATTCTCACTAGTCTTGTGTATGAGGCTTTCGATACACCCCCTGTCCTTCTTTCAAACAGACACACACATACACAGAACAAACAGCAAGTCCAACGTGTGCTGACTGTAATATGTAGACTGTCTGCTGAACCAGGCGATCTGATGAAAGAAAAAGAAGATGAATTTTAAAAGCCAGCCTACTATCATAATCATATGTACAAACCCAATTCCAAAAAAGTTGGGACACTGTACAAATTGTGAGTAAAAAAGGAATGGAATAATTTACAAATCTCATAAACTTATATTTTATTCACAATAGAATATAGATAACATATCAAATGGTGAAAGTGAGACATTTTGAAATGTCATGCCAAATATATCTTGGCCATATAGACACATATTTATTAAATCCCAAAAGATATGTCAATCAGTAGATGTATATGAGCTTTGACCTCCAAACTTTAGCACAAATATACTAACTCCTGAACACACACGTAGATACTCCTTATGTCTTTGATACTCTTTGATCTTTATTATGAATATAAAACCTAAATGTAAATGAAGGTCCTGTGGGGATGTTAACACACTGAACAAGATTTTTGTATTATAGTATCACAGAAGAAAAAATGCATTTGTTCTTTTAGCTAGTTTTTTTTTTTTTTTATAAAATATATTTTATTGTCCTTGTCCATATGTTTACATTGATTAGGCGTACTGATTTCATTGCATTACCACAAGGCTTATGGTAAACATGAGGAAAAATGTGAACAAAGACATGTCTGTGACGTATAGGGTGAGATGCCCTCTTAAAAGCAATGTGCATTTGTTTAAATTGTAACATATTTAGATTTAAGTTTAGCATGGGCATGATGGTGATGCTAATTTTCTAATTTAGATGTCATAACACAAAATGTGGGGTAAAATGGTCACCTACAGGACAAGAAGACAGAATAAATGTCTTTGATTTGATGCCTTTTGCCTTATTTACATTTAAGTAAAATACTACAACTATTGTATTAAAATTTGGTTTTTGACAGCTTAGTTGTATAATTAATGTATATAACCAGTGACAAAGTAGAATCCAAATAAAAGAGATGCATCTGAAAGGTAAATTTATTTGAAAATATTCAAATTGACTGATTTCACTCAATTAGCCTGTAGGTTGAAGTACATATTGAAGATGTCTAAAATGCATCTAACTCATGAAATTATTAAATAATAACTCCATGAATTATAATAAGTATTTTTTTTAAATAATAGGCCCTAACACTGGGTAACCCTAACCCTAAATAATAGGCCCTAACCCTAACATGCAATTTAGGTCATTCTAACTCAAAAAGCAATGTTTTTTTTTTTTACTCCAAAACTTTTCAAACATCAATGTGTCCACAAATCCCTCATTAACAAATAGACACTGAAACTTCTGATATACAACGTAATACAATGTCATAGATCACTATTTTCCAGAGGCACAAAATCAGGCAAATTAGGTATAAAACTGTTTTGACTAACTAAATCTTAAAAAAAAGGTACAAAAGTGGAAAATTGTATTTACACGGTTCATTATTGATATGTCTTGCTAAAACTGAAAATGTGAGCTGGCAGGTGAGCGGTTTATATAGCGACGGTTCTGGCACTGCAGAATCTGGTTCATAGTCATGCTTTTGGATCAAAAGAGCAGAAAGAAGCTGCCAGCAGCACCAGGTGTAGTGTCACTAGTTGATCATGTCATTTATAGCTCCATAAGTGTGATCTGGAAGTGGTTGATCATGACTTCAGTGATCTCGATGAGGAAGGCAGAGTGGTTGCTGTAATGCTCGATGATGTTATCATCCATGTTCACAAAGATCCTGTTGATGGTAAGAAAAAGAGAATAAGTTATAGAAATTCTTGTTAAAATTTTGGCCCATACTTTATATTTACACATTGTGCTGATAACCAAAAAATTGCCGATATTAAAATTAAGCTATTTTAGGCATCACAACATTATAATGTACTGTATGAAAAATGGATATTCATTTTGAGATTTGCTAAAGATTTTGAAATATTAAAGATGAAAGATTTTTAAATATTATTAAAGAAACATTTGTAAATTATTATTAAACATTCATTTTAAGTGTGCATAAGATTACAGCAAAGGTAATGTAAGTGTAAAAGTATGGGAAATGAGCATGCAAAATTAGGTATATTTTAAACACCAAAACATTATAAGTACCATTATATCATGTATCTATAGAACCAAACACACACAAACTCCAAAGTTAAAGATTATCTCTAAAGTTACTTCTCATCTGCACAAAAACCATACTGCTTTAATTCGACACCTGGTCATTTGTGAATTACACAATTACTTATTTTAGTTATTATGACTGTGTTGAGCTGTTGAGTGACACTGAATGATATACGGATGAACTGTGCCCTACCTGAAAGAAACCTTAAAGGGTTAGTTCACCCCAAAATGAAAATTCTGTCATTAATTACTCACCCTCATGTCGTTCCAAACCCGTTAGACCTTCGTTCATCTTCGGAACACAAATTAAGATATTTTTGATGAAAGGTGAGAGCTCTCAGACCCTGCATAGACAGCAACACAACTGTAATGTTCCCAAGTCCAGAGACGTAGTAAGGACATCGGTAAAACAGTCCATGTGACATCAGTGGTTCAACTTCAGTTTTGCGAAGCTTCAAGAATACTTTGAGCTCAAAGAAAACAAAAATAACAATTTATTTACCAATTCTTCTCCCCTGAGTTCCGTCTTCCGCCATTTTGGGGAGTACCCAAGAGCGTAATCGTCGTAATCAGCGTTGTTTACATTCGGGGGAGAAAGTGCACGCACGTACGTAATCTGCGTAATCAGCGTTGTTTACGCTTAGGTGAAAGTGTGCGTATGCATTGTGATCCTCTCCAAAATGGCGGAAGATGTAACTCGGGGGGTGAAGAATTGTTGAAAAAATTATGGTATTTTTGTTTTCTTTGCGCTCAAAAAGTATTCTCGTGGCTTCGCAAAAAAAAAAAAGTTGAGCCACTGATGTCACATGGACTGTTTTACCGATGTCCTTACTACTTTTCTGGACCTGGGAACATTTCAGTTGTGTTGCTGTCTATGCAGGGTCTGAGAGCTCTCACCTTTCATCAAAAATATCTTAATTTGTGTTTCGAAGATGAACGAAGGTCTTACGGGTTTGAAACAACATGAGGGTGAGAATTAATGACAGAATTTTCATTTTTGGGTGAACTATCCCTTTAAGCATTCCTCTACAATCTTCTAAAGCATTGATCAGTCCTTCCCTAAGGGCAGACCCTGATTTAGATCCTTAAAAACACAAATCCTTATCTCATGACTTACGCAAACAATTATTTGGCACAACAGTCGTCTCTGCCAGTTAACATGTATATGGTGTGCAGATGTATGACAGACTAACAGCGAGGTCATGCCAGCTCTCCCAGCCCTGAGGGTGGAGGGAGTCTGACTGAAGATTGGGGCGAGAGAATGAGCGAGAATGCGGCCCAACCTGTCCCTATCCCTCAGCCATATCATCAGCTAACGGCCTGGGGAAAGTTGAGCTCCAAGTTACACAGCTCTAGGCTAGGATGATTAAGATAAAACGCCTTTAATAGAGTCCTGGACATGTTTCTTTGACCTATGTAGGTCAAACGCTTCAGTGGGCTGTGAAACATGTTCACACAATTATATGCTTTACTTTAAAGCCTTATACTTTATGATGCACTGAGGGGAGTTAGTCCCACACATGTTCTGAAATGGATGAGCGAACAGGTAAGCGCCAATGTCTACATGGTGCCATGGGTGATCACCAACCATAGAGATAAATGGTGTTTTCAGAGCCCGGCTTCATTAGGTTGCACGTAGTGTCTCTTACACAACCAGTGCTGCCTTCCTATCAGAACCATCATCTCTACTGTTTCTACCTGAGCTTCGTAAACCACAGAAAACATACAGCACAGTTAGATGAGTCTACCTATGTTGAAATCATCTTGTCTTCCTTCTTTTGTTTTGCCTTTAAATCCCCCTTTTTTTTTTTTTGAAGGGGAGCAGCAATCATCACATTCCAAACACTATAGATCTCCAGTCAACCCGGTCTGTCGACTTTGCTTCCTGGCAGCTTGTTGAGATGGAGCTCAGATTATAAGAAAAGGGTTTAACAGCCGTTCATCCTCCGTGAAAGAACATTTCGACATCCCTCTATCCGTGTTCGTGACTTAATCACAGTTTGCAACAGTCCCCAAACGTTTTTGCCCAATTGAATTTAGCTTGGAAATATATCTCACTCACCCTCTTTTGCACTTCTTGAAGATTTTCCCAATGGTGTCTTCTTGCATACCGTACTTTTCTGAAATCTGAGAAGGCAGAAAGGGGACATGAGTCACATCTTAGTTACAGTTCTTCTCAAGGTTTGAGGTGAGATCTTCACAAATATGTGTAACGGAAAGAGAGACGTTGAAAAACTCACCGCCTCTCTCAGGCCCTTGAGGGTTGGCGTGTTCAACATAAGGGCATCGAATACTTCCTCAGTCTCTCGCCTGACGTACAGAAGAACTGAGAACAAAATAAAGAATCTACCATTAAAACACTGTGGCGGGTTAGAAGCGCAAATCGATATGTTCCCAAGTTACTGCATCTCTTCCATACCTCTCTGTTGCTCATCTCGGCGGGCTTGTTTGCTCGGTGGGGAGCTGACCTGGTCACCGCCGTCTGCGTAGCAGTTGGTACGTTTCAGTGATGTTCTGTCGCTTTCCTCCAGGCTAACAGGGGGCACCTGGACAATAACAAACAGATAAAATCAAGGTTGTTAAAATGTCGCTTGGTCTCCTGTCTCTTGCGTATTTGCACGCTGATGATTACGATGATAGCAACTTTATCACAGTGACATCTTGATCACTAAGAGGTGCGACAATGCAGAAAAAACGTAGGATGATCACATGACTTCCTAATCCTTCACTAATATGCTAAAGTCACTGTTATGGGCTGTGACTACATGTAAAAAGGCCAAAAGACTAATGTTATGAAATGATGTCGAAATTTAACAAGTGAGAATTGCGCTAGTCTGGACTGTGGGAAAAAGGCCTGTCGGAACAGCCTCCATCTCTCCTCTCTTAGGCTGTGTAAACAGCTGAAAAGCATCTCTTCAACACCCTCAGAAGAAGTCTGTGTGCGTGTGTTTGAGCTCCCACGGGTTAATCCCTGTGTCAGTCAGCATGGCCGTCCCCTCCTCAGGTGAGTTTCGCTCACCATCATGTAAACTCAGGAGCGCACCAGTTAGCATGTCTGATCTCGAGATCACGTTCTCCTATTCTTTTCCAAACCCACTTCTTTCCCACTGCATTTTTTCCCACACTTTCCCTCACTCGCTCCCATACTGTCAGCCCTCAGGGTGTTGGTGAACATGACTCAACAATACTATGGCAAGCCGCATATCCTAGGATATAAAGAAGTGCGTTTGTGTATGTGTGTGTCTGTGTGAAAGACAGACGTACCAGGCCACAGCGCTGCATCGTGCTGAAGTGCATCTCTGGGATGAATAAAACAGGTTGTGTGGCGTGATCGTCTTGAGTTTTAAAGTAGGTAGAGTCCTTTCCAACAGAGCTGGAAACTAGGGCCTGTTTACAACCTGAGGAGAAGAAAAACAGCTTTAATAGAACATTCAAAGCAATAAAAGAAAATGTTTCGTGAAGGCATGACTATCAAAAACTAGACTCTGGTGGAAAACACAGTTCGGCTAGGGGCCTGCAGGTAATTTGAGTTTGAAAGTCCGCTTTTACACATCATTGAAAATATGTGCTTAAAAGTTTGTTTTGGTTTTGGCTTGTGCCAAATTAGGAGGAAATCCTAAGTAGCCATTTAGCTGAGCTTTTCAGTGGCTTGTTGGGTCAGAACATGGACACCAAACGGGGAGGATATGAACTGTATTTTCTTTATGCTTTTGGTAGGGTGGTAATGGGTGTTCTCTGACAGTCTCAGGCTGTAATTACATGACTGACAGCACTCACTATTATTGCTGGAGTCTGCAACATTCTTGGTCCTCCTCTTGCTTCTCTTCCTCTCCTCGTCTCTCATCTTCCTTTCTGCCCCCTGCAAGCATTCAAGGACAATAAAACATTTAGAATCTGAGCAATTACAAACTGATCTGGCATATTAGAACAGCTTACAAAACACTTAATTAACCAATAATTAACAATACAAAAGAGCTTTTAAACTCTTAAAACACTGTAACTGCACAGATGGCTTGGCATTCTGTTTTTTTATGTAAGAGAAATAATAAAATATTTTACGTTTTAATATTTTAAGTTATTTTTATTTTTTAATATAATTTCTTCCTCTATGTTTTATAACATTTGTCTTTTGAAAACCATTCTTGTAAAGAACTCAGAGATCATATCTAGTTTACATGCCAGCTGTGTAGTAAATATGCATTTGATCCAGCTAGAGAAACCACAGCAATGCAGTAATGCACTCAGTTCACCTGCTGCTGCTAAACCAGTCAGACATGTGTCAAATCTAATCTTCCCATCATGCATTTCCCCCACACACTGTCAAACAGCTAATAACTATGGCCACCGTGGAACACACAAACGGGCTTTAAGGAGATGAGAGAGATAAGGTGGTCTGGTGACCTTTATCTGATCAGCCTAACAGAAGGGATCAATAGGAATCAGAAGATAGAGGTACCAGAGAGAGTAAGGGTGAGAGACACCGAAAGAGAGAGAGAGACTGAAAGAAAAAAAAAAAAAAAAAAACGCACAAATACTTCAGTGTCTATTTTTTTCTGCTTCAGTGAAAACAAGTTATCACGTAATTGAAAATGTTCCAGTAAAAGATCGGAGTTCAGACATATGCCACTTTTCAAGTAAATAACTTTGTAGGTCATGGTAACAGTGACTCAGGACTATGTTTTGTTTAACAGTTTATGACGCAGTCCAAGATGAGCCAAATAAACGATAGAGATCCAATGCACGATAATTAAATTAGATAATTAAACTTAATGTTTCTGATCCAAGTTTTACATTTAATTAAGCCTTGAAATGCATGTGTGCATCTTTTCATGCTGTTATAAGATTCTCTTTTGGGTATTGCTTCTTACAACAAATTTATAAAGATTAAAAAATATATATATATATATATTTATTTATTTATTTATTTTTTGGGCACTGGCTCACCTTATCACAGAAGATCTTGACCTGACAAACAGCTCTGTGAATGAGGCGGTTGTTCCCTGAGCTGAAATTATATGTGTCAATCTGAAGATTCAGAGGAAGACCTTTGACCCCCTTCTGCGAGGAGAAGTCAGTGCTCAGAGAATTGATGCCAATGTGCACCTGCAAAACACAACAGATACATGAAATCTCAAGAAAGCACTTTGTAAAACAGGAAGCTGGATTTGTTATTTAACTAGATGACACAGTAGTACATTTCATACAGAGAGAAAAAAATCACTGTGAAAAGTCTCAAACAAAACGAATGGTCAGGGATGAGACACATTAGATGTGTCATATGCAAATGATTGTTCAATAATTGCAATTAATTTCCAAAGAAAAGGAGTGTCTATATGGAGAACAACATGGTGAGATTCAACATGTTGGAACTGGAGTTAAATCAACAATAAAAAAAAATCACCTAAATAATATGATGACTAATGAATAAATGAGTGAACAGGAGCTGATTTCCAAACATTTCTTCCTAGTTCCTCATAGCTGATTCATTTGGCACAACAAGGTTGAATAACAGTTAACAGTTGGAATATTTAAATTAAAATTTTGATTTTTAAAATGTATTGTTGCTACATTGCTTGGCAACCAAACATTGTTAGATGCTAGACTAATGAATTATATTACTTGGTGGAAGAATTGTTTATTCTGATTATTAGCTAAAATATTAATATTTAATATTTAACTTTTAATTTCTCTTGTAACATTGCGGTTGCTGATATTTTATTGAATCAATAAAAGTGCGTTACAGGGATTGTATTCTTGCTCTGTCTCTGCTCCACCTGCTCTGAGTTTCGTTGTCCCACCCATCACAACCCTGGGGACATGCTGAAATGCCCTATTTCTCTTTCTCTTCTTCCCTACTTCCTTCCCTCCCTCTTTCTTTCTTTTTTATTCCCTATGATGACAGGTGCCTGAGGAGGCCACATACCGTAGATACCACTGCTCACTGACACTCCTCTAAATGATCCTCCTTTCAACCCCACTTAACAAAAACAAGTGACAGGTGGACCTGTGTATGTGCTTGTACCTTTGCTTCTTCACTGGTGTTCCAGATAAAGGACAGTGCGTTGAAAGCCACCTCTTCTACGTTACTCACTCCACTGAAAACTTCCTTGTAGTCAGCTGATAGTAAATATAGAAGAATTTATTCATATAAATTGTATGAAATTAAACACTCAATCAAAACCAAATGACATCTTACTTTAAATCTAATTATGGGTGGAGCCAGTTACCGGTATTTAATAAAAACATTCTTAATTTTCTTAATCAGTATTGTCTTATTTTCCAGAACTAATTATTTACAATAATGTTAATATACCTGATGGTTATGCTTAAAATGAAAATAAAAATTATTTGCCAGTGAGGTAAGCTATATATATAAAAAAAAAAAGTTACATATATTCTCTGAAAATATGTCTTAAAATCTTCCCTATCAGGGAATTTAGATGTTTAGAAATAGACCAAATAGAATCTTGATTATGGAAATGATTTTTGCAGTGTAGAGTGATTTTTTGCAGGTAGAGTGATAGTGAGGAAACGTACCAATATCAATGACTCTCTGTTTAACAGTAGGCTGTCGAGCATGCCAGTGGTTCCAGTACTTCAGCTGCATCTCAGGACTCTTGTCATTCTCAAACACAGCCATGATCACCGTCTGAGAGAGGGAGCGAGAGAGAGAGAGAGAGAGAGAGAGAAAGGAAGAAAAAGGAGCATTATTAGAACCTGTTACTTTGCGGGTTTTTTAGAGAGTGGTGACTCCCTGCGGGACAAATGCTAGTCTTTTTGTCGTTTACCAAGCGATGTTGTATGTCACCACACTAATACCCTTTCTCTTTGCTTTGTCACTGACCATGGCAGTGTATGCTTTAACAAAACAGCCAATCTGTCACACCTAGAATATGCAAGGGCACATGAGTTTGGAAGTTTTAGGAAACTTTCCCCAAAGCTGCTGTTGCACGTCATGGTTACAAAGTTTTTTAAACGATGCCTAAATAACTAATAACTCTAATAACTAATTCTCTTTGGAACAGGTTACTTAGAACAAACATGTTATAATGGCAAGAATAAATGTCCATTATTTATGTCTGAAAGTACAACTTACTTTCACTTTGCTGGATGACACCCCAGCAGTGCTGTCCACTCCCTGCAGAGTGATGGGGTAAAACTGTCCCTTATTGAGGTACACCATGGGTATTTCTGTTGTCTTGTGCTGGGAAGTTTGTGGGGCACCAAGAACAAACTGGAAGTCATTTCTGTGAAAAATAATCAAATGAATTTTAAGCAATGGCATTACTCCGTATTTTACACACTAATATCTATTGCTTTTTATAGCGTGCATAAAATCACCAAATGAAACAGTTATGTTTTATATATGAAGAAGAATGCGAAGGAAAAAAAGTGGCTGATTTGAAAAGGCTCAGAGAGTTTAGAAGCCTGTCTCACCTGTATCTGTCTGGCGGCGAGTTGGAGTAGGACTCGGAGTATACAGGGCTTGTCTGTCCCACAAACGTGCTGTAGGCAAGAGGCTGTTTTTTGAAGACAACAAACAGAAGTGTCAGAAATGTATGATAATTATAGAAAACAAAGCACCTGTTTTAAGCATTCATATCATATTTTAGGATCTGTTGGTATGGCTCAGAAACTAGGAAGAAAAATAACATTAATACATTTTATATTTTAAATGTGTTTTAAAATGTTCTGCAAACCTCTGGGGTCACCTCCAGAAAGGGTTGGTCAGAGGGCCATGATTTCTGTGCTGGGTGCAGGAGGGGGTACAAGTTGTCCCCGGTGTAGCTGTCAGTGCTCTGTAATGCTTGCTTTGAGTGACTGGGGGGAAAACTTTCAGAAAGCAGCTTCATGATGTGAGCGTTCTCCAGCGTGGCCAGTTCAGGGGAAGAGCTATTCGTTGTCCTGAGAGATAAATGACAGTACAAATTGTGACCCTTCTAGCTGCATATTATAATTTTTTTATGGTACTCCATCACTAATGCTATTCACACAGGGTTAACTGTTAGCTGCCTAAACAATGATGAAAAAAGTGTTCAAGTCAATAAAAGCTTTGCTCAATCTCTGCATTGTTTATGGAGCTTTCTTTGCATGAAAAGCTAAACCAACAAACACTGGGCGGGAGCTGTTTGCCACCTAACGCCGGTTTTTTTTTCTCACTGTTTGAGTTTCTCGGCACATCGGGGAGACTAGCAAGCTCTATAGGCAGCTATTTTTCACTTGCACAAAAGGGTGCTGTGTAGTGACTCAGTCTTTTTGGGATGGGTTGAAGAAGAGGATTAACAGCTGAACCAGCTCTGACCTCAGATAATCTTTAGCTAAATTACTCAACCTACCTATATACTAGAAGGAGAAAATGTGACATTTTACATCTGGATAACCTACTGTTGTGACATATTTTCATCTTGCCTTCTCTCTTATATTACATACAATATATAAAATATATGCTTCTATACTGTATGTTTAGTATAAAAGCGTTTTGATTCATAAATCATAAAAAGTAGTCAAAAGTATATGGTCAAACTTACCTCTCCATGTACATGCTGCTTTCACGGGCACATGTTGTCATCTTCTGCTCTTTTGGGGTCTTAAAAAGAATAAATTTATAATATAATTTATGTATATAATACAAATTAATTTATGCCAAGAAATAATCATCTTTTTTTATATATATTATTTTTACAAACATATTTTTGTGTTACCTTGCAGACCTCATAGAGGAGACTAAGAGTTGCAAGTTCTTCATCTGATGACAGTCTAGGTTTAGTCTTGCTGATGTCACTGCTGTCCATGCAAGGCCAAGAGTCCATAATGTAATTGTCTGGATAGCGTAAGTAGTTAAAACTCTCCTTCTGTTTTACCATGAGAGCCCTAGGCGAAAGTAGAAGGAGATATTAGCATAGATAAAACAGCAAGCATTCTCAGTAGGGATGGGCGATACCACTTATTTTGTTTTCGATACGATACCGATATTTTTCAAGGCAGTATCGTCGATACCGATACCGATACGATACTTCTGAACTAAACTTTTAAATGATGAAATGTATTAAATTATTATTGGTAGCATGATGTATGGCAAAATGATTAACAGCTTAAATGCCACAGAAATGTGCCTCTGGTGCATGTAAAACTTTCAGTAACAAAATCTCAGACTTCAACGAATCCAGGGTGCAAGAGCTGATGCTCTTCATCCAGATTTCAAACTATATAATACTCAAGAAAGTTTCCACAATCACATCATTTTGCGCAAAAAAAAAAAAAGACTTGAATGTCAAGAAACTTTCTCTTTTCGGGCTCTATCATACACCCGGCGCAAGTGGTTTTGCTAGTTTCAGCCCGACGCAGTTCTCATTTTCCCATCCCGCGCCGCGTTGTTTAAATAGCAAATGCATTTGCGCCCATTTGTGCGTTAGTAATATGCGCCTATAGACGGGTGCACAACGCTCGTACACTTTGCTTATTACACTCACAGGGACGCGCAGCAACACACAGACATTTTTAAAAATGAAAAATTACATTCCGTCATGTAAATAGCGCAACTAGGTTTTAAATGGGAGATGAGACTCTGATTGGTTTATTGCACGTTACGGCCAAAAAACACCCATTACTCATTAAGAGAATAGGGACAACCCGTTTAGACCATGCGCCCGGGCGCACCGACCGTTTTCTCGTCGTTAAACTAGCAAAAGTGGATTCGGACGCCCTGAGTGCACCTGCGCCATGCGCTTTACCATGCGCTTAGATCGTTAAAGGGGTCATATTGTGCTTTTCACTTTTTCAACTTTAGTTAGTCTGTAATGTTGCTGTTTGAGCATAAAAAAGATCTGCAAAGCTCAAAGTCCACTTCAAAAGGAGATATTTTATTGAACAGAAATCACTTTTCAAAAACTACAACGAACGACTCGTTTGGACTACAATGCATATTTTCCAGGATTTGTGATATCACAAATATCGACGAATGGGACGAGACCTGGTTGAGCTGCACTAGAAAAGGCAACGAGTGTTATCACTATGTCGGAGACGCGCTAGTTTCCCCAAGGCAGACGTACTTAGAGTGGTTACAACATCCGGGTTTAAATCACGCTCAAATTGATTTGATATTGATGCAGTATTTACACTGAAGCTAGCAGGCGGTTATGGTAAGGGGCATGACATTTCCCGACCAGGTCACCAAGTGCTGCCAATCACAGCACACACTGGCCCAGCTAACCAATCACAGCACATTTCGTATTTCAGAAGGCGGGCCTTCATTTGATACAGGAACTATTCGAGTCGTTCATGCCAGACTGGGGAGCGAGGTGTTCTAATAATGTAAAATATGTGAAAAATAATGTGTTTTTCGAACAGCCTAGTATGAGAGCATGTTCTAGTACACCCCCAAAACAAAATCAAGACTTTGTAAAAGAGCATAATAGGACCCCTTTAAAATAGGGCCCTTCATCTGTGCACCTAAGGACAGAAACTCTTGTAATGGATCAATGGTCAGAAGCAAAGCCTAAGTGAAAGAACTTAATTTTATCTTAACACAAGTATCACAAACAAAAGACAAGGATTTGAAGAGGATCACTAAGTTCTCAAAGGACTTTCCCTAACTACTAGGATAAGCAATGAGGTGGTCTGGTATGGTAAGCTAAAATACAAACCGAGCTGTTTAGGCACCTGTGCTCACACTAAATAAATGAGCAATTTCTGTTTATTTATTTATCTTTAAACTGTGCAGACTTTTCTAGATGAAGAAAACCCCTATCAAATACCCATATTTTATCATTCTAGGCACCTGCATATTTACACTGACCCCGAAGATTAGCACAAGACTAATATTTTCTGTGTTTGTGCACTCGGGCCCCTAGGACAGTTACATCAGGCTGTAAGAGTAAGAGACAGAGTGTGCGTGTTTGGGTCCTGGTGTCAACTTTCAGCAGAAATTATCTTCATGTACTCAATTATGTGGGGGCCAGTTTACACATGAGCAGAGGGAGAGTGGAAGAAGAGGAGAAAGACATTACTCAAGAGGAACAGACAGATCTGAGCGGTGAAACTGCAAACTGTAACACACCCCACAACAAAATCATATGAAACGAGATGGATTTTTTTTTTACTCCTACATTAACAGCTCATTTGAGAATGTCTGGACAGTGGCTAATAATATATATAATAAAGTTAAACCCTTAATCTAAAAAAAAGTACATTTTCAGGATTTTTGGAAAGCAATCATAGCCATGAAATTTTAGTAACAAAATGGTATTTGTGTTCAACACAGTCAAGCAAAGAAAGCCCCAACTAGAGCATTACAAATTTAATGCAAATAAATATAAAATTCACTTACTCAATCTCCTTGGTCATGACTCCTCTGACAGGCAGTGATGATAAAATCCTTAGTTTGTAATCTTGTCTCTTCTCTCAGATGTGTTGGTCCGTGTTTGTATGCCTGGCTGAATGTGTATGTGTGTTTGTATCCTGATAAATGAAGTGGTTTGATTTGTAACCACATAATCTCTCTCTATTTATTCACCTAGCAAGTTGGCTTCTTTGATCTGATTGGCTGCCAGCCTGAGACAGGTGTGTGATAGGACAGGTGTTTCATCACTGTCTCAGTGCTGGAGAGAAACTTCAGCATGTGTGTGTGTGAGAGTGTGTTTAGGGGGGGGGGTCTAACTCATTAACACCTCATATAAAAGACTGAAAGTCTCCAGCCACAGGTGTGATATGCATCTTATTTTGGATCAGAAACCAAAGGCACTGGTGAAAGAGCAAGGTTTTAACATGCTAATGAAAGGTTGTGTCATTCTCAATCTCTAAAAGAATTAAAAAGGAGGGTTTGGCCACATGGTTTTTATGGCTTTACACCACTTTTTTATTATTTTGAAAAACAATAAAACAAGAAGTAATAATTATTTACTTGCACACCCATCAGACCCCTCAGGCATTTTGGATTTAAACCAACAAAATGTGCAGAAGAAATAGATTAGAAGAAGTAAGGAAGGAAGTCAGGAATGCTGATAACACTGTAGTGGTTTACAGTAAATGAGCGTGAGTTCCTGGACACAAATGCAATTTTCATATACTCATATGCACAAATTTCATATACTCTCATACACAAATGCAATTTTCATATATGTGGTTACAGGGTGTAATTACTTTGCATTTGCAGTTTAAAACCAACTACACTACATACAGTGCATATCACACATACCGTATTTGTATTAAAATGTTGCACATTTTATGTCTGGCAAAACTGTCAGTTTCTCACTAATAGCATATATATAGGAACACACAGTGTTTATTTCTGTTCTAATGTCATATTTCGGCATGATTTTATATAGTGTTATTAGTTTATCTCAAAATAAAATGCACACATTCTCATCTCTATTATCCCTTCATGATTGAGTTAAATCAAATATTCAAATAAAAAAAATTGCCATTCTGGTTCCTGTATGCGTATAAACAAGTCTCTGCATCTTTTCTCTGTCATTATCATATGACTGAACGGAATTACACTGATCTTATGATATAATATGAGCGGATCTAATATCAGACGTAAAGCAGCAAGTGTGTGAACAGCCTCGTTGAGAGCCGTCGTGTTCTGCAGGAAGTGAGAACGTAAAGGGAAAGAACCATTAGAGCAAGGAGCTTTTCTAAAGGGATCATTTCACACCTAGAAACCATGCTGAACACTCAGAAACCAGAGTAAACGCACCATCGCTGAAGTACATGCAAGAGAAAGCAAATGTAGAGAAAGAAATGGATGGGAAATGAATATAAGAAGTGTTGTCTTTTTATGGTTTCTATTGTGTTTCTTCCATCCCAGAATCCCCAAAGGTGTGACAAAAATAAAGCTCTCAGGTTGTCTCAATCCTAACAGCTTTAAATCCATTTAAAAAATAAATTAATTTCTGAATGAAATTGAACATTCCTATCCATTATTTAAAATACTATTTTCTCAGGATATTGTGAATGTCACATAATTACATCTGCTTACTATAGATGAAATAAAATATACAGTGAAGCCCAAAAGTCCACTATTGAAAATACTTCTAATTTTGCATCTATTAATTGAATACACATGATAATCATGTTGTCCATGATTTGAGATGATGCAAAGATCTGTACAAAGAGCCACATCAATGTCACAAATGTACTTATATAATTAGCTCTAGAAATATTGCAATCTTAAATATATCTTATTCACTTCATGTCAGTGTGCTTATTTGTTTTAAATGTTACAATATCCTAAAAGATTCTTGAGGTGCAGGCTTAAATTAGATTTTGAATCCCAGATTTTCTAAGTTGTATGATCGTATGATATTTAAGCATCACCTCATCGGAGATTAATTTGCCATATGAGCCGTTCATCATCAGAGGCTGAATATAATAACCAAAATCAGAGTGTCAAACAGTCTGTTCCAGTGTATTCACAGACCTGTCAATGCTCTGCATCTGTCATACACTGATCTGCACTAGCACTATATTTAGTATACTAATACTGCTTGATCAATCTATTAAATGAGAAGAATGATAAAAGAAATGACACCCAAACAACAGAATCCATCACAATCTACAAAAACGCACCTTATAAATTTGGTACAATAGCACTACTTTTATTGTTTTCTTCCTTGGATGAATCACCTCTGCTCGTATTATTCTCATTTGTATTATGTTGCATAAATTATCTTCTAAGTAAATGCATGTAATGCAAATGTGAAATCACACTTTGTTTTGATCTGATTTTGGTACAAAATGTTCTTAGGTTGTTCTTTTGGTGAAATTGTGATCTATTTTGTCTAAAATGTACAAGATAGGATTTGAGAAGTATTTGAGAAGAGACACGATTCATTCATCTGAAAGATTCAGCTCAATTGAGATTGAACATTCAAACTTCCTCTTAGTCCAAACACAGTATGACCCAATGAAACTGCCAGATGTTACTCAAGATGTGATTAAAATGTATGACTTAGGGTCAAAAGCCCAGATCACTCTGAATCATTCAGGAGGGATCGGGACACACACACACACACACACACATTGTAATGGTAAAATTACAGGTGGTAGAGGCGTGACCTTTAATATTAATTGGTCAGTTATAATCCTAGTTTCATCCACACACACACACACACACACACACACACACAACACACACACACACATTGTAATGGTAAAATTACAGGTGGTAGAGGCGTGACCTTTAATATTAATTGGTCAGTTATAATCCTAGTTTCATCCACACACACACACACACACACACATCTCTAAATCTGATGTTTCTTAGTCACACTACAATCGTCTTCAAATTTCTCCTCAGGCTAGACTGTGTGTCGTAACTGAAGGACACAGTATGAAAACACACACTGACATACCTGCAAGATACAATTGTCTCATATTTCCTTCTTGTGATTTTGTCTGCATATAAATGCTGTAACAGAAGAGCAGAAATTTGACACAATGCTGATTTGTACCTTTGCATAAAAAAAACTATATTGTGAAACTGGTATTAATAAATCTGCCATTATGTCATTATTTAATTAGTGGAACATTTAGGATCATTTTAAATAAAGAAAACATTTTAAAACATTTTACTGTGTACTTTTTCTAATTTTTGAAAGTGTTAACATGCGAAATTTGCCAATTTTTTATTTTATTTTGGTCTACTAATTTTAAAATCAAGGACTTTTTACTTTGTACTTTTTCCTAGGAATTAATAAACATTAAATGAAAATTGCACAGATACATGTAATGCAATTAAAAAACTGGCATGCCAAGCATTTTACAAAACAATTCACAAAACATTGATTTTCCAAAAAAAAATGATGGAAAAGATTTTTCAAATTATTTTTATTTTTTATTATTATATATTTATTTAAAAAATATATATTTTATGAGAGAGCATGTTTATTACACCAAACTGGTATAAAAAAATTAATTCAACTTTAATTTACTGATAACATAAAAACTGAAATTTCTTCTTGAAAAGAGAGAAATGCTCTTTAAGTTAAGTTTAAGTTAACAAAATTCACTTTAAGCTTGATAAAGGAATAAAACTTTACATCAGGAAATGTGATTGTTTTAACTGTTTTGATGAAGCATAGTTTGAAGAAGTTTCATTTTCCAAATCTGGCTTATCTTGTCATTTCTTGACATCACCTTTGAAATAAATTATATATAGAGTCATAAAAAGTAATAGGTTTTAAAGCAGCACTCACACACACACACACACACACACACACTGTTCTCCTGTCAGATTATTGCCTCATGTAAAGTTTGTGCTATTGTGTGTGTTTGATTTCTATCAGCAGAGCTGGGGAGGAATAATATTTGCTAAGCTTTTGTGATGGTCTGTGGGATTCTCACTGGGAACTGGCAGCAAAACTGGCATAAATAAGAAACAATCCCTCATTACACCAAATGAAAGAAGCGTGTGTGATAGGCATCTGCCTCTCTCTCCCTTTCATTCTTCCCCCGGATGGGTTAAGAGGTTCCCGTGGGATTGTGAGGTTTCTCTGCTTTCCAGGATTTGTTACCACATTGGGAACAGCAATAGAAACGAAACATGTTGAGACCCTGCATGCAAACGCTAGCACACATGCTTATTGTAAATAACCTTGGAAACATGTCCAAACCATCACCCTGCTAGCCTTCCGCACCTCCTATAACATTCACATGTGCCCCCTACAAACACACACATACTGCGTCCTTAAAATCTACCCACACAGAGAAAATGATCCCCTCACTACCTCCTACCACTCAGATAAAATTGACAAGTACTTTTGTTCTAACTTTAGAGAGCACACACACCTCTCACGAGTGCAACGCAAAATATCTCACCCAGTTTCACTCTACAAGTCCTGTCTTGTTAAAGAGAATGCAAGACACACAGGAGAGTGAGAGGAAGAGAGAGAAAAGATTTTCATTTTCATCACGTCTCAACTCTAATGTGCTCATTAAAACAGAATTCAGTTATAGAGCTCAGACAACTACTGAAATCCTTAACGTTGTTGAAAAATAAAATCTGATTTATTTAATTAATTTGAACTGGAGCAGAGAAGAACAAAGAAAATTTTTAAAAAAATTATGCCATTTTTTGGCATTATACATTGCCATTTATATCAAATTAAAAAAAAAATTTTTTATCACAATTATCTACTACAAATAAAAGATTCCAATCAAAATCAACAACCTATCTCTAAGCCGTGAAAATTCATGTCAAATACAAAGCAGGGTTATTATACGAAACAAAAACTAAAACCATAGAAAAAAAATTTTTGTTATAAAAGTAAACTTTAATAATATAAAACAACCATTAATAAAATATTATTTTCTATTAATAATACTTTTGTTAATAAATAAAATAACATTAACAGAAATAGAAATAGAGTGTAATTTTATATAATATAATACAAAAATAAAGAACTTCTTTTATTTCAGCTAGTTTTCAAAGCAACATTTCTCACTTTCATTTCA